GGATGATGGACTGTCAGGGGAATGTAGCACTGACAGCCAGCTTTCTGGTACCAAGACTGGCTCTAACGTAATGAAGGGCACATCAGGTTGCTTGGAATTGTGATAGGGGACTCTCTAGTCAGAGGCACAGACAGACATTTCTGTGGCCGGCAACACACCAGGATGGTGTGTTGTCTCCCTCGTGCCAGGATCAAGGATATCTCAGAGAGCATGCAGAATATTCTTAAAGCGGAGAGGGGCCAGCAGGACGTCGCTGTACACATTGGAACTAATAAAATAGGAAGGGAAAAGGACGAGGTTCTGAGGAGAGAATGTAGGAAGTTAGGCATAAATTTAAAAAGTAGCTCCTCAAGGGTAGTAATATCTGGATTACTCCCAGTGCCACAAGCTAATGAGGGTAGCAATAGGAGGATAGAACAGATGAATGCGTGGCAGAGAAGCTGGTGCAGGAGGGAAGGATTCACATTTTTGGATCATTGGAATCTCTTCTAGGATAGAAGTGATCTGTATAAGAAGGATGGATTGCACCTGAATTGGAGGGGGACTAACATACAGGTGGGAAGATTTGCTAGACCTGCTCAGCAGGGTTTAAACTAGTTGTTGGGGGGAGGACCACGGGCTTTTTCTTTGGCTGAGGGGTGACCTTACATAAGTTTATAAAATCATGAGGGGCATGGATAGGGTGAATAGTCAAGGTCTTTTCCCCAAGGCGGGGGAGTCCAAAACTAGAGGACATAGGTTTAAAGTGTGAGGCAAAAGAGTTAAAAGGGACCTAAGGGACAGCTTTTTCATGCAGAGCGTGCTGCATGTATGGAATGAGCTGCCAGAGGAAGTGGAGGAGGCTGCTACGATTGCAACATTTAAAAGGCATCTGGATGGGTACATAAATAGGAAGGGTCTAGGGATATGGGCCAAATGCTGGCAAATGGGACTAGATTAATTTAGGATATTTGGTCGGCATGGATGAGTTGGACCAAAGAATCTGTTTCCATGATGTACAGCTCTAAGACTCTATGACTTTATTTATCATTTCAGTTTGTAATTCCACAAGACCATAAAATCATAAGAAACAGGAACAGAAGAAGCCCAATTAGCCCCTCCAGCCTAAACCACCATGCAACAGGATCATGGCTGATCTGACATTCCTCACATCCATTTTCCTGTCTTTTCCCCTTAACCCTTGATTCCTCTGATCAAGAATCTATGTATTTCAGACTTAAACATACCCAAGGTCTCTGTCCTCACAGCTCTCTGTGGCAACGAGTTCTAAAGAGTCACAATCCTCTGGGAGAAGAAATTCCTCTTCATTTCAGTCTTAAATAGGCACCCTTTTTTCTAATACTATGCCCTCTGGTTCCTACTCTCCCATGAGAGGAAATATCCTCTTAGCATTTATCCTGACTAAACCCCTTAAGAATTCTATAGGTTTCAATGAGATCAACTCTTATTCTTCTAAACTCCAACGAGTAGAATCCCAACCTGTTTAGCCTTTGATCATAAGACAATCCCTCCATATCGGGGATCATCCTAGTGAATCTTCTTTGAACTGCCTCCAATGAAATAATACCTTTTCTTAGATAAGGGGACCATAATTGTTCACAGTATTTCAGATGTGGCCTCACCAGCACCTTGTGCAGTTGTACAGTTCCCTATTTATATTTTTTGCTTTCAGATTTTGTCCCTCTTATTTTCCAATCTAGAGTTGGTCAGTTCTGCTATTGTGATTACATAAATCCTTCCCACTCTTCATTGGTTTAAAGACCTTCCTACAGGTCTATTTATCCCTTCTGTGAGGACCCTGGTCTTAGCCCAGGTCAAGTATAGCACCTCCCTGTGATACAATTCATTCACACCATGTCCTAGTGCTAATCTCCCACGAAATGGAAGACCTCTTCATAGGACACCTTAGTGCCCATAAATGCCAGGCAATGACCATATCCAATGAGAGAGAATCTAACCATTGCACCCTGACTGAGGTTAACCATTGACCAGAAATATTATTGGACTAATCATCTAAATACTGTGGCTACAAGAGCAGATCAGAGGCTAGGAATCCTGCAGAAAGTAACTCCCCTCTTCACTCTCCAAAGTCTATTCATCTGCTACAAGACATAAGTAAGGAATGTGATGAAAACTCCCACTTCCCTAGATGAATCCAGCTCTGACAATACACAAGAAGGTTAACATCATCTAGGACAAAGCAGTCCTCTTGATTGGTACCACAAACATTCACTCCCTCCACCACCAATGCTCAGAAGCAGCATTGGTTTCTATCTCCAAGATGCACTGTAGAAATAGACAGGATCTTTCACACCTATGACCACTACAATTTGGAAGGGCAAGGGCAGCAGCTACATGAGAATACCACTACCTGCAAATTCAACTCTAAGCCACTCACTACCCTGACTTGGAAATATATCACCATTCCTTCAGTGTCACTGGTTCAAAATCCCTGAACCCCCGTAATTACATTGTAGGTCGACCAACACCAAATGGTTCGAGAAGGCAGATTGCCACCACCTTCTCAAGGGCAACTCGAGATGAGCAACAAAAGCAGCATCTTTCATTCTTCTAAACTCCGACAAATATGGGCACAACCTACTCAATCATTCCTCATAAGCCAACCCATTCATCCCAGAAATCAACCTCATGAACCTCCTCTGAATTGCATTCAATGTAAGTATATCCTCCCTTAAACTAAGACACCAAATCTGTATGAGGTAATCTACATTTTGTAAAGTCATATCAAAACACCTTTATTTTTATACTCCAATCTCCTCGTAATGAAGGCCAACAGCATCCACAATATTTTGTTTTTGTTACCTTGTGTTCTGATCTGTACATTAAAGTGTCACAAAATGCCTTTTGGAAATCCAAACACACTATCCCTCCTGGCTCCTCTTCAAAGAATCACAGAATTGTTACAGCGCAGAAGGACGCCCATTTGGCCGAGTGTGATTGCATCAACCTGTTATATGAGCGTCATAATCTAGTGCCAATCTCCTGCATTTTCCCTTTTTCCTCTTTATCCATACTCCCATCATTATCTGGAACCAAAGGTCACCTTTTATAAATAAGTGGCTGCTCACTTAAGACAGAGCTGAGGAGAACTTTTCCTCACAGAGTGGCATGAGTCTTTGGAACTCTCTTCCTCAAAGGGCAGTGAAAGCCAAGTCTCTTTTTTTTAAAAAGGCAGTCAAAAGTTATGGGAGTAGACATAATGTGGAGTATTCAGATCAGCTATGATCTACTGTAGATCTAGTTCAAGGAGTTGAGTGAACTACTTGACTTCTAATTCGTATTTTGTATGTTTACCATTTTTGTTACATCGTCAAAGAACTCAATTTATCAAACATAATTTGCCTTTCATAAAACTGTTTGATTGTATTATATCCTACATCTTCTTTAATATGGCTGTATTTTATATAACTGCAAATTGTGGAACATATATGGTGTGTTATTTAAGTATATACTGCATGTAATGTAGAAAATGTATGTAATATATGTACACTTTATGTTGTATGTGTTATATATGTATGTTATATATTGTATATATAGTGTATATTGTAGATGTCATATATATTGTGTATATTGTAAATGCTGCAATTTGTGAACGCACAGCCAACATTTCAGTTTGTCCCAACTAGTATATGTAAGAATCATTTTTGGAGCAGTGGATTGTCAATAGAGACATATATACTGCACACATTTCTATATAGTGCATGCAGTATACATTATCTATACAAAGTATATCATCGCGTACATTACAACTCTTATACATAGTATCTATCGGGCACATCTAATGTACATATTGTATATGTATATTCCATGTATTGTATATATTCTGTTGTAACCTGGTTGGTGGAGGCGGCGCTCCCGCGCTGTGAACACTTGGCCGCGGATCCCCAGGCCCGGGGCCGCGACACCCTGAACCCCGCTCACCCCGAAGGCGGGGCCCCGGACCCGGGGAGTGACCGGGCGGGACATGGCCAGGTAGAGAGAGGGAGAGACACCCCCACCCCACAAATCCTCAAGATCTCTGTCCTCCAGTACCTGTACCTCGTCAGACCCTCTCCCTCGGCCCCTATCCCTTTCTGCCTTTCTTCCTGAGAAATTTTATTTTAGTTTTATTTACATTACTTAAAAAAAGAACTATAATTATTATTTTTGTTTGAACTTTGCATATATTAATGAAGGATGTTCAATCTTATTTGTTGGCCCTAACCAGTTTCTCTCATATAAATGCACGCCTATGCGTTTAGACCCTCAGTCTGCTTCCCTCTCTCCCTCAGGCCGCGGCCCTCAGTCTCAATCCCTCAGAATCTGTTGTTAGTCCCTGTTCTTCAGTCTTCTCACCATTTTCGTCAGGTCCTCAGACTCATCTCTACAGTGCCTGTCCCTCAATGTCTGTTCCTCAGTCTCAGTCTCTAAATCTGCCCCTCAATCTCTGTACCTCAATCTCAGTCCCTCAATCTCTGTACCTCAATCTGTCCCTCAATCTCTGTTCCTCAGTCTCAGTCCCTCAGTCTCTGTTTCTCAATCTCTGTTCCTCAATCTCAGTCCCTCAATCTGTCCCTCAATCTCTGTTCCTCAGTCTCTAAATCTGTCCCTCAATCTCTGTTCCTCAGTCTCAGTCCCTCAATCTCTGTTCCTCAATTTCAGTCCCTCAGTCTCAGTCCCTCAATCTCTGTT